TATCTCCCTATCAGAGCTGCCCATAAAGGAGTCTCTGTCCGCTACCTCATCACGTCTGGTGGAAAGTTCTTCTTCTGGTAGCTGGGTATCCTTGTCCTTCTGGCAATAGCAAAATTTGCATCCGGATGTCAGGCATGGTCTTCTTGAGAGGCTATCTACGTTTCCATGCCTCTTTCCTTTCCGATGTTGAATTTCAAAATTGTAAGTTTGTAACTTTTCGATCCACCTAGCTATTTGTCCTTCTGGTGTTTTAAAGTTGAAGAGCCATCGAAGTGCTAAGTGGTCTGACCTGATAAAAAATTTAGGGCCATATAAAAAGGAGTGGTAGTGATCCACCGCTTTGACTACTGCAAGGAGTTATTTTCTAGTAACGCAGTAATTTCTTTCGGACATTCCCAGGGACTTACTTAAATAGTTAATGACGACTTTTTCTTCCTCTTGTACCTGGGAAAGTACTGCTCCTATATATTTCATGTTGGGATGCATCCTGCATCCGTGTCCAGCAGGGCCGTCGCCATGGGTGGGGATGGGGGGGAGCTTCCCCCCCTGATTTTTCGACTTGGGAAAAAGTTGGGAAGTGGAGATAGAAAAAAATAATAGTAACAAAATGAATTAAAAGTAAAAAAAAATAAAATGAGAGAAAAGAAAGAGAGAGGTAATAAGGAAAGGGAAAGAACCAGGACAAGGTTGGGATTTCCCAACATGCATAACTTGGAGATCCCATACTTTGAGATTCTGAGTTGTTTGAAAACTTCAAAAAAAGAGTTTAATTTCTCCCAAGTAAGAGAACAGTCCTGAACAGTCCACAAATTTTAGTGACAATTTTACAGAGTTCCCGACTTTTCGCTGTTTATTCGACTTTCGGACCGTGAAGATAGAAAAAATAATAGTAGAAAACAATAAGCACAATATTTTTCATGTATTGAATATTCCTTTACATGGTGGATATGGTGGAAGACCAAGGACTTTGGTCCAAAGTAGAATAAATCCCATTATTATTGTTATAATTACCAAAATTTATTTTTGTTTGTGTGTTGATTATTTGATACCAGGAATGGCCGCTATTTCATAAGCAACTTACTAATTTACGAAAATACTGCGGTTATTCAAACGAAGACATCATTTTGAAACTACAGCAACATCTCAAAGGTGAAGCAAAGTCCTTGGTTGCTGGAATGTTACTGACTGCTGATAATGTACTTAGTAACCCATACTCTACAAAGAAGATTTGGCAGACCAGAATTTATTATTGAAACCATCATCACGAGTTAATACTATTCTCAGCAGAAGTAAATAACATGGTATCTATTATGAAAACCCTAGAATCCATGGGACATATGCAGAATCCTCAATTAATCAAAGAACTACTCACTAAACTTCCTGAATTACTGAAATTGAGTTGGGGAGAAATTGTTTCGTCTAAAAGGGGTGATGTGACTCAGGAAGATTTCTCTTCATGGTTGGAAACTATTTCTAATGCAGCTTGTTATGTTAGTTCACCTTGCAAATACTCAAAATTTGAACAAAGGTCATATGAAGGTAGAAAACATGAAAGACTTCTCAGTACTTCCGAAATAAAAGAGAAGAAATGCAACTACTGTGACAAAAAATGTCATGATAACTTTTGTCCACAGATGCAAGCTGATGATATAGATAAGCGGTGGAAAGTTGTAACCGACAAAAAGTTATGTTTTTCTTGTCTAGGAAGTAAACGCCAAAAGTTTAAGTGCAGATACAGAAACGTTTGTGGCAAAAATTATTGTAAACTATATCATCATCAGTTGCTACATAAATACCTACCTTCTAGAAATCCGGAAGTTAACGTCAACGAATCGTCCATGGAAAATAATTCTGAAATAGTTTGTGCAATGAAGAATATATCAAACACCAAAATTTTATTGAGGACAATTCCAGTCAAATTATATGGACCGAATGAACATTCGTCAGTTTTGGCAATATGTGATGAAGCATCCACGGTAACGCTGTTAGACAGGGAGATAGCTGATAAATTATAACTTTCTGGTGTATCAGAATCACTTTGCCTTCAGTGGGCAAATGAAAATCATTCGATACAGCAAAATTCAATGAGACTGAATTTGAAAATATCAAAAACTAATGATGATGATGAAAAATTCACTTTGAAAGGAGTTCGAGCTATTAGAAATCTGTCACTTCCAGAACAAGAAATCAGAATGACTGATTGGAGAAAATATTCTCATTTGAAGGATATCCCAATTCAAGATATTCAACGAGAAAAACCTGTCATCCTGATTGGACAGAACAATATACATTTGATATTACCCAGACAAATACGTTGTGGATCAGATAATTTACCTGTAGGTACCAAGTGTGAATTAGGTTGGTCACTACACGGTCCAAGTCCCATCAATGTTGAAAAAATCTTCAAAGCCCATACACTGCATGTTTGTGAGAAAACAGAAGCTTCTGACGACATTGAAGAACTCATAAAAGAAAATTTTGCAACAGAGTCTTTCGGAGTATCAGTAACACCAGACAAGATGAGCAAGGATAATGAGAGGGCAATGACTCTAATGGATACTACCATTTGTTAGACAGGAGAAAGATATGAGATAGGTTTGTTGTGGAAAAATGATCATGACATTATATCAGAAAGCAAACATATGGCCCTAAAACGACTGAAATGTATGGAAAAGAAATGCAGTCTCGACAAAAACTTCGCCGAAGCCTACTGCCAGAAAATCAATAGTTACATAGAAAAGGGATATGTTAGAAAGCTAAAACAGGAAGAAATTCTCACAGACAATCCACGTCTTTGGTTCTTACCACACTTTTCTGTGAATAATCCAGATAAGCCCAATAAAATACGCCTAGTATTCGATGCAGCCGCCACGTCAAGAGGAGTAATCTTGAATAGTAAACTGTTACCTGGATCAGATCTATTGAAATCTCTAGTTACTATTTTATGGAAATTTCGCCAACGACGATTTGGATTTTGTGGTGACGTCAGAGAAATGTTTCATCAGATTCAAATTCGTGAACAAGATCGAAAGTCCCAGAGATTCCTATGGCGAAACTTAGAAAGTGAGAAAGATCCACATTAATATGAAATGACGGTGATGACGTTTGGTGCAACTTGCTCTCCCGTATGTGCCCAGTTTGTGAAGAACTTCAATGCTGAAAAATTTTGTTCTGATCCCGAAAATCAGAACGCAATTATCAACAAATTTTACATAGACGATTACTTGGATTCCAAGGATACGGAACAGGAAGCACTTCATACTATCTCAGAAGTATGCAAGGTACAGAAGAAAGGAGGCTTCGAAATAGTTCATTGGATGACAAACTCTCAGATTATACGAGAAAGACTTAAATCTGAAGCTGTATTGGCCCATTCAAGGATCATTGGTGAAACTTCATTCCATCGTGTTTTGGGACTTTGGTAGAATACCGATGATGACTATTTTTCTTTCAAATTGGATATCAGACATGTTCATGATGAAAAAACTACCAAAAGAAATGTTCTCAAGTGCATTATTTCCGTGTTCGATCCACTTGACTTAATATCAACACTTACTATACGAGGTAAAATATTGATGCAGAAGATGTGGCGTTCTAGAATCTCCTGGGATAGTTTTTTACTGGAAGAATTGATCAAGCCTTGGCGAAGATTGTTGAAAGATCTGAGGAAAGTAGCGGACTACAAAATACCAAGATGTTATAGTTTTCTGATCCCCGGAGCAGATAGAATTGGACTCCACAGCTTTTGTGATAGCAGCAAGGAGGCATTTGCCACAGTATGTTATCTTCGAGTATTGAAAGAGGACAAAATAGAGACTTCCATAATTGCTGCGAAAACGAGAGTTGCACCTCTAAAGCAGCTTTCAATTCCGAGGTTAGAATTGCAAGCCACAGTTATGGGAAGTAGACTGGCGGAGACAATTAAATTGGAACTGGAAATAACCATCAATAGAATGTATTTTTGGACAGACTGTAAATGTGTTCTGGGATGGATAAGAGCAGATAGAAGATCTTTCAAACAATTCGTCGCTCTTCGCATAGGTGAAATTCAGGAGAGAAGCAGAATTGAAGATTGGCGATGGGTACCCAGCCGACAAAATATAGCAGATTATGCTACCAGATCATCCAAAGAAACAATTATATGTGATGATTGGTTATGTGGTCCCACATTTTTGAAACAACCTGAGGTTTTTTGGCCCACTGAAAATTCAAAAATGACAAAAGATAAAGATGAAAATCTCATGAAAGAGATGAAATCTGTAAATAGATGCTTAGTCATACATACGTACGAAAATATTCTTCCAGACATGAATAGATTTTCGAAATGGCTCATATTCATTCGAGCAACAGCTTGGTGTTTGAAATTCATCAATAACTTGAAGAAAACTGGAATATCAGGAGTACTAACGAATTGGAAGAAGCAGAGAAAATTTGGGCAAAGAATTCCCAAAGAGTTTGTTTCCCAGAGATATTCAAAACTTGAAATTGGGAAAACCCATCGATAAACAAAGTAATTTGGTTGGTCTCTTTCCTACTATGAGAGATGGTTTTTTAGTTCTTGGTGGAAGGACTAATTTGGGAACTTGTATGCAAGAATCCACGAGGCATCCAGTGATCTTGAATCCAAAACATCGGTACACTAGCCTGCTGATTCAACATTTTCATGAAAAGTTCAATCACACTGGAGTGGAAACCGTACTAAATGAACTCCGGCAGAAATTTTGGATTATTAACGGAAGATCCGCAGTGAAATCGATTTTTGGGAGATGTCCCAGATGTAAAATAAATAAAAGTAAACCAAACCTGAAGTAAGACTGACGAGAGGGCCCAGACCATTTAAAAATGTTGGCATGGATTATTTTGGTCCATTCTCCATCAAAATTGGTAGAAGACGGGAGAAACGCTGGGGCGTGATATTCACCTGCCTAGCAGTGAGGGCAATTCATCTTGAAGTAGCACATACATTGAATAGTGATTCCACCATAATGTCTGTAATCAGAATGTCGGCAAGAAGAAGATGTCCTCGAACAATCTATTGCGACAATGGAACTAATTTGAGAGGCGCATCCAGAGAAATAAAAGAAGCCATGCAAAACATTGACATGCCTTCAATAAAAAATTCAATGTCTTTGAAAGGCATCGACTTCAAATTCCTACCACCGGCTTCCCCACACATGGCAGGAGTATGGGAAAGGTTAATTGGAACTGTGAAAACAGATATAGGAAAGATTCTTTATGGTCAATCACTGAGAGAGGAAACATTACAAACACTTTTTTCGGCAACGGAGTCCATAGTAAATTGTAGGCCGCTGACTGAAGTTTCCTGCGATCCGTCAGATTTAGAAGCTCTTACTCCCATGCACTTTTTGTTGGGATATTCCAACACTACGCACGAGCCTACATTACTTCCAATAAGCCCTGATGCTAATGGATTGAGGCGCAAATGGAAAAAATCTCGAATGTTGGTCAACACATTTTGGGACAGATGGGTAAAAGAATATCTTCCACGTTTGACGAAAAGGAGTAAGTGGTCCAACAATTTTTTCGAAAGTTGGAAAATTTTGCTAGTGGGGTTGGGAAAATTTGGATTCCCTCCCCCACCTGGTTTTTCTTTTCGCTACGGCCCCAGTGTCCAGTATAAACAATCCCTCTTCCCTTTGGTATACCAGGATCGGTGCGCTGGTCAAATGTCTCTTCAGGGCAGCAAATGCTTGATGGCAGTCTGGATACCAAACGAAAGGTGTTCTCTTTTCAGTTAAGCTATGCAGCGATCTGGCGATTTTTCCAAAGTCCTTCACGAAACGTCGGTAATAGCTACAGATTCCAAGGAAGCTTCTAACGTCGTGCTTGCTCTTCGGTGTTGGCCATTCTTGCACTGTCTTGATTTTCTTTGGATCTGTTTCAACTCCTTTTGACGATGCAACGTGTCCTGATACAAAAACATCACCTTTTGAAGAAGCTGGACTACCTAGAAGAAGTCAATTTTTGCATCTTAGGCTACACCACCTTCCTATCACGAAGAAAGTTTTGCAGTCAAAAACAAAATGATAATAAACTTCCATTGATCCATGGAGTGCTCCTTCGGAACCCTGGTCGCGAGTGCATATAGACTTTGCCGGACCTTTCGAAGGAAAAATGTGGCTAATCATAATATATCTGGCTCTAGATCTTTCCGATGAAGAACATCACCACGTCATCAACAATTAACGTGCTAACCGCTGAAGATTTTGCAAGTCTTATGGTATCACACATATTCGATCAACACCATATCACCCCAAGACAAATGGACTTGCAGAAAGAGCAGTGAAAACTTTCAAAAATCGCATGCCAGCTAGTGGACAAGAGAAAAATCAAGATGAACGTTTACAAAGTTTTTTGTAGACTTATCGTTATACCATACAACGTTCGACAGGCAGAGCTCACAGCGAATTGATGTTTGGACGACGTTTACTTACTCTGTTCGACCAATCGAAACCCAACTTATTCCAAAACATGGATAAGGCAAAACTTGATCAGAAATGAATTCATGATCGTGGTTCGAAGGACTCGATATTTCAGCCAAATCAGACGGTCTGGGTGAATAATCCACTAGATGAAGGATCCACGCCAGGAACAGTAATGGATCAAACTGGACCGTATTCATATATCGTTGAGGTAAATAGAACACCAAAGAGAAAGCATGGGGATCAGTTAAGACCTCTTTTGAACCAACGTAACCAAGTGGAACAAAAAGAGAAACATGCCAAGAATTCTGAGAAACCTTTTATGATATGTGTTTCTAATGCATTGCAAGATGAAGATTCCACCAAAGAAAGCATGACACAACCTGTGAACATAGAGATACAAGCCAATGACGACATCATTCAAGAAGAACAGACGATCTTTCCGGAGCCTAGAAGAAACCCGTCACTTAACCGAAAACTGCCTACTTGTTATCGTGACTGAGTAAAACATTTATTCCCCGTTTTGTTTTTGGTAGGGAGGAATTTATATAATTTTAGTTTTTCATCTGACAGTTCTAATGTTCTGTGATGTTGATTATGACGATAAACAAATACATCGACTATCAGTAATAAAAGTGATTATTGCAGTCAGCCCAACCATACCGCAGTAATTCTTTCCGAAGTTCCCGGAAAATCTCTTCAAAACTTTTTGCCGACTCCTTCAAACTTTTTGTCGACTCCTGCAAGTTTCCTTCCGACTCCTTCAAACTTCTCATCGACTACTTTTTCCAATCCCTCCTTTGTTTCCTGAAATACTTTTCCAAATTCTTCCTTCTTTACTCATTTGGGATGATTTTGGATCTTTCAATAAATGAAGGTGTTAAAAAACTTTTTGGTTTAATAAACCTGGTTAATACTGTTGCAACTTTTATTCAACGTGACTTACAGTAAATTCTCAATATTGAATTGTCTTAAAACAAGTGACTAATCTGTCAAAATAAAGTATCAAACTTAAATACACTGTCTTCAACATCCTCCACCCCGTGAAGAAATCAAGTCTTCACCCCAAAAGGCAAAATACACAGTTTAGTGACTGGTCTGATGAAGCTGCCTTTTTCGTATGAGTTCGAACGACGCGGCGTACCACGCCGTCTCTGCCAGGTAACATTTCAGTTACGCGACCCAGTAACCAGTCATTTCTAAATGCATTTTCAACTATTACCACAAATATGTCTCCTATTTCAATAGTTTGACTTCTGGAATGCCACCTACTTTTTGGAATCAGGATAGGACGATATTCTGTGACCCACCTTTTCCAATATGAATTTGCCAAACTTTCAGCGAACCGCCACTGTTTTTTCCCGAGTATAACATTTTTGTTTTCACTGTGGATATCGACACCACCTGGTCTCAGCAACAGAAAATTTTTGGGAGTGATCGCTTCTGGGTCATTAGGGTCTACTGAGATATGTGTTAAAGGTCTAGAATTCAGTGTATATTCAATTTCGGCCATCAATGTTTGAAGAACTTCTTCTCTGAGGCAAGCTGTTTTCAAAGTCATCCTGAGAGCTATTTTTACGGAACGAACCATACCTTCCCATATTCCACCCATATGGCTAGCAGCTGGAGGGTTAAATTTCCACACAGTTCCCCGGCCAGTAACTTCATCTGACAACTTCGTAAAATCCAACATACTAGCAGCTTCTTTGAGCTCTTTTCGCTCCAACAAAATTTGTACTATTTTCTGTGATATATTGTTTAGGTTGTCCACGGCGAGAAATGAATCGTCTGATAGCAAGAATTGTTGAACTTGTGTCAAGTATTGCAGCAATCTCAATATGGATAGCCCTTATAGTGAGACACGTGAAAAGTACTCCGTACCTCTTTTCCTTTCGACGACCAATTGAAACAAATATTAGGCCAAAAAAATCTATTCCAACATACGTAAACGGAAATACGAATACTTCGACTCTTTCTACTAGTAACTTTTCCATTTCAGATGCAACTGGTTGACATTTTCTGGTTCGACATTCCTGACAATTTCTGAATATCTTTTTCACAGGTGAATGAATACGTAGTATCCAATAGTTTTCTTTCAGATTATTGATAACGGTTACTACACCGATATGACCAGCTTTGATATGGTAATCGTACATTATTATTATTGTGTTCTATTATAACTTGATAACGGGTGTGAAAGTTTATATTCAGAATATCATTCTCCGGAATTCTTCCATTCAAACGAATTATTCCATTCTCATCTAGATAGGAGATAGTTTGAAAAGTCGGCTGAACTTTGAAACCTTGCCATGATTCTTCAGCTTGAAATTTTCAAGGGATAAACTCTCAATTTTTCTTTACCTGATCCACAATAAGATTGATTCTTCTATTTCTTCTGCTCCCAATAATACTTTTTGCGGTCTGTCTTTCTTGGCAACTAGGATTACGTTTTCTTGTCTAATAACGTAGAAACCGCAATGAAGGTATAAAGTTTGGACCTTGTAGTTAGAAATTATTCAAGCTACATCCAAACGACTTGGCTGCAGCATCGAAAACAAGTCTGATTTTGCCGGGTTAATGGAAATTCCAAACTTCGAAATGTGGTAAAAACCAAATCTTCGGATTTTCTGTTATTTCTATATTCTCTAATTTTCGTGCATAACCTTTGTTTATATAATCTTGATTCATAGCATAATACTGTTTGGCGAATTCGTTATCGCAACTCATTTTCCTTTCCATGCAAGTGAGACATTTTATGGCATTCAATTTGCTGTCAGGTAATGTTGCCTCAGAATTTTTCCTAAGATGACCTATTTCGTATCTGTCACCAATTTTTCGAACTGTATCATTCATGATTCCCAAAGCTCTGCGGTCTTCAGCAGAGTAAATGGATCTACCTTTCACCTTTACACCAAAGGCTTCCAGTTTGAAAGTATCCTTCACCATTAGATGGAGTTCATCATCGTCGGTATATCGACAGCAAAGATTGGCATGAATATATTCTTTATTATCAGATAAATCATTGATAGGCCCGCTAATAGTCCAAACTAATTTTGATCTCTACATAATAGGCTGGTTTATTCTTGTTTGAATAACCTGACGTGAAATAATCAAACCACAATTATTTTGTCCGATAAGAAGTTCACGTTTAGCATTCTCAACAGATTTAAGAACTTCAGGATCTAAATGTGGAAATTTTTGAGTAAAAGTTTCTACATCCATTTTGTGGCTTGGTAAATTCAAATTTCTTACTGTTCTGAGATTATTTATAATGAAAAACTGTGGTTTTCACTATTCGGTGAAATATTTACAGAAACTTTTTTTGAAGTGTGTTCAAAATGAGTGATATCGTTGGTCCATTGAAAACATAGTGGAACAACTGGTCCAGAAAGATTCATTATCCTGGCTAATTTTTCCTCGATCATGGAGCATGGTGATAATTCATCAAACAGAGCAAATGTTTTCATTTCAGTTGTTGGTCCACGAGAATAACTGGTGCTACTCTCAATAGAGTGGTCTTTTTTGTATAATGTGCTTCAGCACAAAATTCATCATAGGACGCTGGCTGATCTTGCGAAGTTGACGGAGAGTTGCATAAACTATCTTTTGGTACATGAAGAAGACTATTGTGTTTTCCTTTATAGTTATCGACCCCACATCTTGTTTTTAAAAAGCATATATTAGCCATGTTAAACATAGAAAACATAATTTCAAATTCAGTGCCGAATCTTTTCTTTCTGGTACCGTCTTTTCTTTGAATTTGCCACATTCTTTTATATCATGACTATCATCTTTGCAAAACACACAACCTGAAGTATATCTCTACGTTTGAAACTAGGCCAACCAGAGAATTCCCCTGAGAAATATGGAAGGTTCCTTGTTGTCTCATCAGTAATGCGTTTGTATTTGCAGTATTTTCTATACATTTTCTAGCGATGTCAAGAACAATATCTCTGTCTCCACCTCCACCAAAGGAGGAAGAATAACATGGATGTTCGCAAATAGAATACCGCTGTTTGCTTTTTTCACTCATTTCTGATTTATTTTTGATGTAATGTTCATCAAGATTCAAACTATTCACAGCATTACTACATTTTCTGGCATCCTCAACCCAATGAGTCATGAAAACTGGATATTGGTACAAATCCTGAGATGGTATAGACTTGGTTACACTTTCTGTTGTACTTTTTTGGATTATTTCCTTCTAAATTTCTATAGCTTTCAATATTTCTTGTGTTTCTTGCTTATCTAATTATTTCTGTTGTTGAATGAATTTTAGTTCCAAGTTTAGCTAAGAAATACTTGATTTCCGGGAAAGAATTGACTCTTCTTTCTTTGATTTTATTTCATTTAAGGAACTGTTTGATGGAAACTGAATTATCTCTGACTGAGCATTTCTGGTAAAGCAAATCGTTAACAGAAAATACTTTGTCTGCTTCTCTTATACGATTCTTTTGCAATCTACTGGTTTCAGTATTACCAATAGGAACTGCATCTTTGTTGGCCCTAGCACATCTGCGAAGCACAGTTTCACATTTTTTTGTAAATTCAGTGGCTAACTTTTCCATAGCGTGTTCTTGAGTAACTCGAAGGACAAGTAAAAGAGAGTTACATCGTTTGATCCTGTGTTGTACATTGAAATCCCTTTCAGTTCGAAAACTTTTTTTTCCTGTTTTGTGTCTTTTAATAATTTAAAAAATTATTTACGATATTAATAAGTGCAAAAAGTTACAATCATTCTTGATACACATCAGATAATGAAAATGATATTACAAATTTGAAAGCCACCTCGATTCCCAATGAAGTCAGTTATCGTTTATGTTATGTTTTACTCAAAATTCTACCTGTTACTTATAATACGATAAATATCATGAAATATGCACTTTTAGGTGATGCTCCGACACTCACATTGATTGAAGAACAGTTAGCAAACGAATTGAATCTCCAAGGACCCCAACAATCACTAAGCATTCAATGGACCAACAATCAAGTCAAAGAACGAGAAGATTCCAGAGTTGCCAGTCTCACAGAAGAAAGCAGTGCAGAACCTCAAGTAAGACATGCAAGAACAATGAAAGGCTTATCACTACCTATACAAACTGTGAAAACAGGTGAGATTTTCGAAGAATATCCTCATATAGATAAAAAACATTGCTCCAATAATTGATACCAAACCTAGAATCTAAATGGTCAAGACATTTGGCCGTTAGTGGTCAGTAGAAAAATTATTACTGGTTCATGAAATGGTCCAGCAGTGAGTAAGACATTAATGGGTTGGGATATACATGGAAATGTTTGTTCTAGACCAGAGACTCACAATTTAAAAATTGGATTTGTCTTTATGGCAAAAATTACTTGTCACACTGGCATTCATTCCGCATCTATCTCACAGCACATTCGATTCTACATCTTGTAGCTTTATATTTAAATTTAAAAGAATACTTTTCATTACAAACTCCCACCCTTTCATTTTAATCTTTTTGGGAAGCTTCCAAAAATGTATCCATTACTTTTCAACCTCTCGTACATTCGATTACGATTGCTTGTTCGTAATATTTTGGCCAAAAACAACACCGTCATCATGCCTCACCATATTTGGCCTCCTGCGACTTTTTCCTGTTCCTAAGATTGAAGAAATCCATGAAAGTTGCAGTTGCGTTTTGCAGTCTGGAGTTTTGTATTCGACATTTCGGTTCCCATTTTGGAGCCATTTTCAAGAATTTGATGTGACTTGACGCCGGGGCCTCAATCTGCCTACTCCCCAGGTTTTGGCATGAGTTCTCTCTAAGGTCTAACCTGCCTACTCCTTAGATCGAACTGAGGTGTCGATGGGACTGACTAGTGTATTTATTAAAATTTTTGGGGTTAGTGTTAGTCTTTACAAGGTATGTTTATGGTGGAGCCCTACTTTAGGCTTATGCCTCTTCAGGGTTACAGTTATGTATCTTGTAATCTATGTTAGTATTGTGTTAGTTTTTCCTTTGTTCGTTCAGGTGTCCTGGTCCATAGCGGTGGGTCGTTGCTTGGGGAGTGTTGGTTCGTGATGAGCCTGGGGTGGTGTGGTCGATAGTTCATGATGTTCTTCAGGGTATTCCAGGAAGTGGATTTTTCGCTATCTGATAGCCAATGCATATTCCTCTAGGATGTTCTGGATCTGCTCCGGAGGGTCTTCCAGCAGCCCCAGGAGTCTGGCTGGGGGGAACGGGAGCTTTTTCCTTAGTATCCTTCTGGCGCCTCCGCGGGGTTTCCATGGGGAGGACAGGGTGGCGATGGCCGCGGTGTTATGGCTTCTCATGGTTCTCAATGCGTATCTGCCCTGGAGTTCCTGAAATCTCAGATTGATAGGTGTAATATCAATTTGGTTATATAGGTCTTGGGAGGGAAAGTTGTGGATATTTATTAGGATTCTTCTCTCGGTTCTTAGTATACGTAAGATTTGATTCTGGGAGAGGGTGCAGTATAGCGCGGCTTTATGGTCCACGATAGGTCTTATAAAGGTTTTGTAGGTGTGTAAGAGAGTCTTACTGTTACATCTGCCGAGTTTGCCTCTCAGCGCTTTTAGTATATTCGCCCTTTTCCTGACTCTATCCAGGGTTTCTCTGAGGTCGGTCTCCCAGTTGAGGATCCTCGTGAAAGTGACCCCCAGGTAGGACATCGAGTCTTGGAGGTGGAGGTTCTCTCCTAACAGTGTGAGGTTCAAGTCGTTAGTATTAAGTTTACGACGAGTCGTGGTATTGGGGTGTCTAAATAGGATTGTTTGGGTTTTGAGGGGGTTTATTTTGATTCGCCACTTGTTGCACCATTGCTCGAAGTGGTTGATCATTGTTTCGGCTTGTGTTTGCAGAATACGGGTGCTGGTGGCGGAGGAGTAAAGGATTGTATCGTCTGCGTATTGAAGGATTTTTTGAGTGAAGGGAGAATCGTGAACATATATTAGGAATAGGAAGAGAGCGAGGACTGATCCCTGGGGGACTCCGGCTTTGGGTATGAAAGGGGAGGAGAGGGTTTCACCTACTTTGACACGAATTTGTCTGTCGGTAAGATAGGACGCGACTAGTCTGAAGAAGTGAGGAGGAAATTGGATTTGAATAAGTTTCCAGATCAGGACAGCGTGCCAGACCTTGTCGAATGCTTTTTCGATGTCTAAGAGGATAGCGACACTACCGAAGGAAGAATTAATATTTGGGGTGATATGTGTGTTCAGTTCGACTAGCGCGTTTTGTATGGAGTGTTCGGGTCTGAAGCCATGTTGGTATGGAGGGATGATATTATTTTCGTGGATGAAGTTATTCAATCTGTTAGTGATTAGACGTTCTAGAAGTTTTCCGAGGACATTGAGGAGACTGATAGGTCTATAGGAGTCAGGTGTCGATGGGTGTTCAGTGGTACTTATATCGGCGGAAACTACTGAAGTGGAAATGTGGGGGCGGGTCTTCGGGGTCACCAGACGTCTTGGTGGCGGTGAGCATCGGAAAATTAGGGGTTTCCAGGCAGTTGGAAGTCTCTGACCGTCATCACATTTGCCCAGACAGAAAGGTCGCTTTTCGATTTCGATGGCCTCGCGAATTATCCGAGCTTGTAGTGTTTTCGCTGTGGAGATGGTCTTGATGTTCGCAAAGTCTATGTTGTGTCCTGTCTCGAGCTCTAGATGATATTTGGACAGGGCTGAAGATTGGTCTGAGTTTCGGACAGCAAGTTGATGTTCGTATACTCTACTAGTCACACGTCTGTTGGTCTGGCCTACATATGTTCTATCGCAATCGAAGCATGAAATTTCATTAACAATTTTGTCCTTGGAGGAACGGAGAAACGTGCAAATTTGATTGTTGGCGGTGAATATTGTTTTTATGTCCTGTTTGTCGAGAGTTCGGCCAATTTTGTCAGTTGCACCTTTAATGTAGGGTACTGATGATGGGGCAAGTACCCTGAAAGCGGTCTATCGATTGGTCGTATCGACCAAATGAAATTAATTTCTGCTTTTCTGCGACGAACATAGAACTACCTAACTATAACTGTTTATAAACATTTCCACATCTGCTGCCTTTTATTGACCAACTCTCTAACCATTTGTGACTCAAATGAATTATATTGAATATAAAATCTCCAAATCTGAAATTGTCGCTTCGACTGCGGCGTGTAGGAAGCTCGTAACAAATTAGTGTAACGGTCGTTTTTCTCTATAAAAATAATTATCTGTCAAGATAAAAAATAACGTACAATTACAGCACCTGTTGAGCCCATTAAAGAATGCCAACATGCATCTAAAATTTTAGGCTAAAGTAATTACCATCTGTAATATTTGTGTTTATTATACAGAGTATTGATATGAGAATTTTGAATCCTCATTTTATCACTTAGTAAACGCCATCCCTAATATTCTGCCGAAAATTTACCTCCTACAGTTTTTGACCAATGTAATGCGCATTTCCTCTCGCGTTACCATGGTAACCCAGATATTTATAGGAATTTCTTTCCTAAGGGTAACCTATAGCGAATAACCGTGATTTTTCGACGTGAGCGGAAACAAATATTTGACACATCACGTCACTTCCACACACTTTGTAAAAGAATATTTGGGCAGAAGTAAAAGAAAATTAGACTGATAATTGTTTTGTCCAACTGATTTTCAGTTTAGTTAAGGTGGTTATGGAATTTTTCCGATACTTGTTAGCGTGTAGACTAGACTGGGATGTATTATATTTTTATCAAATATTTAATATAAAATATACTGTAATAAATATTACTGGATAGTGCAAAAAAAATATTTTCTCTTTTATTTCATACCTGAATAATCGCACAGGTTGGAATCGGACACTTCAAAAGGATTACTCTTGTAGAGAATCTATTGGACGAAAGGTCTATCAATCCTGTAGTGAAACAGGAAATATTAGCCTTGCTTACGGTTTGCTTGTCACATAATTAATTCCAATTCAATTCGACTCATCCTGCAAAGGTCTCATAATGGGAAACCCACTTAGTCCCATTCTGGCAGAAATGTTTATGGACGATTTGGAGAGAAAAATACACAGTAACCCACTGGTAAGAAGTTTCGTGTATTGGTATAGATATGTAGATGATATCTTGCTATGTTTCACAGGAACGAACAGACAATTGACTAAGTTCTTGAATTTCATCAATTATCTCCACCATTCTATCACATTCACCACGGAGATGGTAAAAGACGACTCTATAAATTTTTTGGACTTGACAATAACGAAAGTTAACAATAAACATAATTTTTCAATTATCGTAAACCAACACATACAGATATTATCATTCATAATTCGTCACCCACCCGTATCAGCACAAAGTAGCAGCTTTCAACAGTATGATCCACAGACTGATAAATGTATCCTTGTCAGAGGCGAATTTCAATAAAGAACTGAACATAACAAAACAATTAGCCGTCAACAATGATTACTATAGCAGTCTTATATATTATCTTTTATCAAAAAAGTTATACAGCTAACCTTTGAAGGAAGTTTACCGAATTCGAAGAGAAGAGGATAGAAGTTATAAAATCTTAATCTACTTAGGCCAACCACTACGAATATTTCAAATTTTCTGCACAACAAAGGTGTAAATATTGTTTTCAAAACAAACAACTTATGCATGCACATTAAGAATAACAAAAATAAAAGTTCCGTTTCAGAAAAATCGGGAGTGTATAAATTATCATGTGGGTCAAGTTCGATGTTTTATATAAAGAACGTTCAAAGTCCGCATAAAGGAACACAGAAATAGTTTCCAGAATAGAAAAATAAACTCCACGTATGTCACTCATTCATTCATATAAACACATGAGTTCAACCATGAATTCAAGCCCCTTCATTTCCAGAAGAAAGGTTCAAAACTTGACCTGTTGGAGAAAATGGAAATAAACAAATTTAAAAACTTTCAATTAGTCTAATCAACAAGTTCAAAAACATGAAAAATAGAGATAAAGGTACTAAAAATATTAGCGATAGCTCATTCGATTGGGAATCACAGGAGACATCATCAGAATTCCTGCACACAGCTCATCATTCTATGAAAAAAAAACCCTCATATAGAAGTATAAAGTTTTTCAATCATCTTCCCGCAAACCTGAGAGAGCAACGGAATAAAAACT